AGAGAGAGAGAGAGAGAGAGAGGGAGGGGGGGAGGGAGCAGCATGGGGAAGAGCCAAAAGGAAGAAAGGGAATTAGCAATCGAAAAAAGGAAGCCCTGGGGGGAAGGGGCGGGGGAGGGGAGGAGCGACCAGCAGAATTCCCACAAAAAGGGGGAGAGAGCACGCACAATGGTGATGAAGGGATAGTCATCGATGAGGTTGCGGAGATTGGCCATCTCCTCAACCAGGTTGTCACACCAGACATCGATGATGATGGGCTTCTTCGGGTGGTCGACCTCGACTGGGAAAAGTGGAGAAATTGAAGAGGGGTGCGCGGGTGGGACAACAGGGCGTGTGTGTGTGTGAGGAGGGGGAAAAAAGACAGGAGGACATGGCGCCACGGGCGTGGGAAGAGCTGGATATACACGTACTGGCCTGGGTTGGCTGCTGGACATGGAGCAGGGGAGCACCGCCGGTGCCAGCACCAGACAGGACATTCTGCTGGCCAGACACCAGGATGCCCTGCGGCGGGGCGACCGATGAGGCGGCGGCCGCCGCCGCCGAGGTAGAAGTGTTGGCACCGGTGACCAGGATGCCGGGCTGCTGCTTGGCCATCGGCGCCGGGACAGCGGTCGACTGGGACAGACCCGAGGCATCGTGCGAGCCGGCAGGCAAAAGCAGCGGCCCTCCAGACATGAACTGCATACCGCCGGCTCCGGGGGCTCCCGGGCCCGAGTGCGCGCCCATCAGCATCGGATGTGCGGCATGCGGATGTGCGGCATGCGGGTGCGCGGCATGCGGGTGCGCGGCATGCGGGTGCGCGGCATGCGGGTAATGGTGGGAGGAGAGCATGTGGGATGGGTGCTGGAGGTGGTGATGCTGGGAAAACCCATGTGTCTGAGAGGAGGGGGCCAGAGGTAGCGACGGTTGGCCGTGATTCATCAGGAGCTCGGCGGAGGGGCCGGAGGACACCGCAGGGAAGCGTGAGGCGCCGACGGGGAGAGAGCGCTGGCTTCAGCGGGGAGGCAGAAGCACAGCGTGAGGGCCAAACACCAGGATGAGGGAGGGGGTGGAGGAGGGAGGGGGAGAGGGGGGGCGGGGAGAGAGGGCGCGGGCGCGCTCTCAAAGGGGGAGAGAGGGGAAAGGGGAGACCGAAGAGAGGAGCCAGTCTGCCAAGGGGGGGGGGGAACTTAGCTGAGGCAACTCGAAACAGGAGAAGAAGCGGTGCGCGGGACTCGGAGAGGGCTGGGAGAGTCGTCGGCAGGGGCAAAGAACATAGCGATGGGCGCTCTGTGGCGGCGGGAGGGAGGGGGGGGGGGAGGGAACAAAGTGGCAGAGGGCGGAGGTCAAGGTTAGGAGGATGGCAAAAGTGGTCCCTGGCAGCGTGGCGGAAAGGACATACATTTCGGCGGCCAGCGAAGGGGAGGGAGGGGGAGGGGGGTTATTGGACGAGCACCCAGGACAGGGGGCTCATAGAGGTGCGGCGCGTGCTTAATGCGGCTCGTGTGCGCAAAGTGCAGGAGGGAGGGGGAGGGGGAGGAAGGAAGGCGAGCTCAGGTAC